ACTTCTAAGCCTATGACTCACTGTTCTTACTAGAAGAGTAAAAACTTTGCTCTTGCTCGTGACTGCCTCGCTCCAGGTATGCCACAGTTCACAAAATGGACACAAATAATTTTCAATGAGTTTTTCTTATCACAGGGTAAAATAGATCTCAGAACATTCATATTCTTCAGCACTCAAAGACAGACCTAAACTGAAAAAGAACAGGTTCAAAACATGAAACGGAAATACCTTTGGTGCTTTTCCTGCTTTCAGTGCTCTGACTTTCTCTCCTTGTTCAGTTACTTTTTCAAACAGTTGAAGAGGACTCAGAGAGTTCAAATCACAGTTCAGACTATCAGCCATTGTGCCAGACTGCACAAAGATCTGTTTAATTACAATTAAATGTATCCGATTCTTTGGCTTGTAGATTCAAAGCAGCAGCAACAACAAGGAGAACTGTAGGACAAAAAGTATTGTGTTTTATTCTTTTGTGTAAGTCTCCAAGATTAGATAAGCAGAATAAAAATATAAACACTCTACTGACCCCATACCAAATTCTATTCACATCGGATTGATAAATGTGGAGATATTAACACAATGAGCTTCAGTTTCATACAGAAATGGACTAAGAGGAGTAACAAATAAATTTAGAGATCACTGTTCATGTTGTTTGTCTACATATTTAACACTAGAACACCTTGTCAAAGTCAAATTCCTGGCAAAAGAAAAAGTAATTAAATATATGTACAATTCAAAGCATCCCAGAACAACTGGTAGAGGTTATCTGATTCCTGATTAAGTTAATGTTCCTGCACTGATACCCTCTCAAATTCTGAATGCTGAGATTTTTATAGCTATGATACAGAATTTTGTCTTAGTATATGTAATAGAGTACTTCAGTCCAAAGAAGGATATACAAGAGAAAAGCTTAGTCATCTTCTGTATGGCTTTCCTCCACAGGTTATAAGCACACTGATGATTAGTGAGAAATGCTGCTTTCTAAAGAATCCTTGGGTCAATAATAGGCTGTAAATTTGCAGAATCACGTGTTTCTCAGAAATATGCTGGAAAATTAATAGGAGAAGGTCTAAAATGAGGAGTTGGATGAGACTAACAACACAGTAGTCTCCTTGTGTCCAATATACTCCTCGATCACGACAGTTTCCCAGCACAGAGCATGCCCATGCTTCCACACAAGGGCTTCTCTCCCAGACTAACAACTACAATGTTCTATATACTAACAATACAATAATTCTGAAAGTTTCTTAGCAGTCTATTAATTATCAGTGACTGAGAATTTGCAAAATTACAACTTCATAGTGTACAGTAAAACAACGCTGTTAAAGTGTTAGATAAGCATAGTTGCCATTACCAAATGCATTAAAATAATTTTCACTCTACAGCAGAAAATCTTGATCTTTGGCTTATCAGTTATATTCTAAAATGTTATAAATAAACTCTGCTGTACTTAATTTTAATGGATACGCTGAACACCTCTTAGTAATTAGCAAGACGGGAAACCCATGTAACATGGGTTGAATTACCTTATACCTTAATACATATACTTGCCATAAAGGTATCACAGCAATTAATGGTATCACAGCAATTTCTCCATCTGATTTTTCTAAAATTACTTGATAAATTGTCCTCAGATAACCTCTGAAAAAAACCCAGAGTTTTATTTATATCTAACAAATCCAGTGAACCTGTTATCAACCTGCCATGTGTGAACACTCATTTCAACTACAGAGGCGTAATTCCTTATTTAAAAAAATCCTTATTTTCAAAAATTACTCATGCTCAGCGGATCTCCATACAAAATGATGAGGTCTTTAGAGCTATATATGCTCTGAATATTCTTCTGGTAAAAATTCAAGCATCGTGCTGCTTAAATATTGAGAACTGAGGACAAACAAGCATTAACTTGAAATGGGAAGGGAGTTTTTATGGTTGTAGTTATAGTGAACTTGTCATATTTACGTAGAGGAAAATAAGCGTTAAAAATATGTAAGGAGGACACCATCTGTCAGAAAAATAACACTAAGTGGAACTGCAACAACTCAAATCCATTTAGGATAAACATATCACAATAACAAGGTACACAGGGAAGCATATAGAGAATTATAGAAGAGTATCATAAAACCTGCGGCTGTTGAAATGAGGTAACAGGAAAAAAAAGAAACAGAAGCCTGTCATAGTTGCTTTAGCTGTTCCACGGTATTTCAAAGCCTTCCTTCTACAAAATAATCAGCCTAATCACAGCCTTGGTTATATTTACACAGCATATATTTAAACTGCCACCATAAAAAGCCTTCAGCTGCCTAGTAAACTTAGGAAGGTCAATTTGGTAACTTGTTGGTTACCAAAACACACCTATGATTAAGGCTTTGTTTGTCAGTCAGCTGCAATATTCCCATATTTCAGCTTCAGCTGAATACCCTGAGAAAACTGGGAAGTGTATACATCCCCTTGTTAATGTGATTTGCTTAGTCTATTAACTTTGATAGCATATTTAGATGATGTAATCGACTAAAATAAGACTAACGTGTCACCAGTAATACTTAAATTTTTAACCTAATCTCAATCCCTTCAAGCTTGACTTTTTGCAGTTTGACAGTGTAGTTTAAAAAAAATTAATCAAACACAATCAAAAACAGATCAAACAATTCTTTGATGTATTCCTACAGTTTAATAACTTTTTTTTTTTAATATAAGTGCTTTCCACTTTTTCATTAGCACAAGATATTTAAGTGGAAAAGAAAGCATAGAATAAACACATATTAGAAAATGTTTAGGAAGATTAACACACACCCTTTCTGCAAGAACATGCCAGTTATATTTACTGACTTCAAATTTTAAAAAACAGAAAATATATAAATAAGAGTTTTCTTTGGTGTAGATCAGATTGTGGTTTGGTGTTTTAACTTAATCCCTGAAAGTACATTATACTGATAGATTGCCTCCACTCACAAAGGCTGAAATGACAGCTGAGACTTTCCATATACCGGAAGGCATTAACCAGAAAGGACTCTTTAGAATGTTTGGAATATTATGGATTTAAGATGAGCAAAGAATCTCAAATGAAGATGCATTTTCATTAGGAAGTAATAAAAGTAATCTAGTTGCTGCAAGAAGGCACGAAGATATCATCATTATAAAATGCAAAACATATTGGCTGCTACATAAAAGTGATCTCCGTTTACCTCAGTACTGTCCCTATTTAAGCCAGGAATTCAGTAATGTGGGACACAGGTCTCTATCTTTTGAAATTCATAAATGCAACTGTAAACCATTTAAAATAAATGCCTGGATATTCAGTATTTTATCAGGATTTTTTTTTTCTCCCTTTCTTATTGATATTATGAAAACTAAAAGTGCCAAACACATCAGATACCACGGGCAAACAGATCTGGAGGAAAAAAAGTATATGTGGGAATTTGAGAATGGGCTGTTAGGATGTTTGGGACCAGGGTCTAGAATGAACTTAAGAGCCTCAGTTTCATGGTGTGAACTTGAAAGCCAAGATTTGTGTGCCTTTTCTACCTACACAGTGCAGGTAACCTGCAACGGGTATGGCTCCCATGCCCGTTTCAGAACATTAAATCATTGCGAGACAAAGCTCAAAAATAATCCTTGGCAAAGTTATCAGAAAGGTGGTCTGTTTCCCACTGGATGACCACCACAGACCTATGGTCATTTCCACTGTTTGCAAACTGATTTGGTAAGTCAGAGACCGGAGTATTAAAGAGCAGTTTGCATGTTTTGTTAAGAACAGCTCTTTCAGGACAAACATCCCATGAAGGTACATCAAGACTTCCAAAGACAACAGTAACACAGTAGTCCACAAAAAGTTTTCATGACCAAAGGAAAGAATGTGGAAATAAGTCTAACAGCACTTACATTCCTGGAAACTGTTTTGCCTCCTGTAAATAAAACAAAAAAGTGAAATTAAAGTAGGTAGTATCCATACAGAAACACACCTTGAGAAGTACTCCAACAGAGGCTGCATTTTATAGGAGACCTACCTTCCCAGTCATGACAAACACCAGCGAAAATATGAAAATACAATGAAAGAATGTAAGATGATTCCCCAAGATGACAAGAGGACCACTCAACCATTGTCAGTCGAAGAAAGCCCACTGTGAATCTTTACTATACACCAGCTGTTGCGAGCAAAGCTGCGGTGCAGGAACGGCTCTGCACCAAATCCCCCAGCACGTCAATGATCCCTGAGCCCTGCAGCACTCCCTGACACACCCTGCCCGGGCAGGGCCGGCTCTGCCCTTCCCGCGGTGGGACGCGTTTTCCAGCGGCCTGGACATCCCACCCTGCCCTGCCCTGCCCTGCCTTCCCAGGGCATGTTCTCCTGATGTGTTGGCGATGCAGCCCCGGGGGCCGCAGGGAGTGGAGGAAAAGCCCTCCAGCCCATCCACGCCTCGCTCAGGGAGGGACTGAACGTGCCCAGCAGAGACCCCCGCGCCCAACACCTCACACCGCTCATGGGGGCGGCAATGACTGCCCAGCCAGCGCCTCTCCCGCTCCCGGGGGTCGTTCCCCGCCGTCCCATCCCACTCTATCCCCCTCTCTCCCGTCCCTCCTCACCCTCCGCTCCTCGCTCTCCACCATTGCATCACCCCCACGCCGGCACGGCTCCCGCGACTCCCGGCTGGGAAACACATCCCCCCCGGAACCATTGCCTCCCACTGCCCTCCCTCCTCGTCCAGCCCCCAGCCCAAGGAAGCGCTCTCCCCACCGCTCGCAGCGATGCAATAAGGGCTCCTGCGCTCTCAGCGGGACGCGGATTCACCTCAGCCCTTCCCAATGCGCGGGCCCGGCACGGGGGTTTACGACGCGCGGAACTGTTTGAGCGGGGCGGCTTGTTTCCACCCGGCGCGCTTTAAAAGCGGCGCGGCGGCGGCCCGGCAGGTGAGTTGTGGGCGCGGCGGCGGCGGGAGCGGAGGGGCCGAGGGGGACGGGGCTGGCCCGGCCCGGCCCGGAGCGGACCGGGACGGAGCTGTCCCCGTGTCGGGCTCTCCCGGCCCCACCAGTGGTCTCGGTGCCCGGGGCTGCGGGGAGAGTGCGTGTGCGTGTAGAGGTTGCGGCTCCGCGGGAGAGCGCAAGGAGGCGGCCGCGGTGCCCGGACTCGCTGCCTCGGGCAGGGCTGCACCGGGGAGGGCCGGGTGGTGTTCCCGGAATCACAAAGTCTTTAGGGCTGGAAGGGACCTCTGGAGATCATCCAGCCCAATCCCCCCTGCTAAAGCAGGGTCAGCTGGAGCAAGTGACAGGAGCGCGTCCACGTGGGTTTGGGATGTCTCCAGAGAGGGAGGCTTAAAGACCTCCCTGGGCAGCCTGTTCCAGTGCTCTGCCACCTTCAGTGTAAAGAAGTTCTTCCTCCTGTTGAGGTGAAAGTTCTTGTGTTTTAGTTTGTGGCCGTTGCTCCTCGTCCTGTCGCTGAGCGCCACCGAGAAGAGCCTGGCACCATCCTCTTGGCACCCACCTTTGAGATATTTATGTGCGTTAATGAGGTGCCCTCTCAGTCTCCTGACTAAAAATGCCCATCTCCTGCATCTCTCCTCATAAGGGAGATGTTCCAGACCCCTCATCATCTTTGCGGCCTCTGCTGGGCCCTCCCCGGTACTTTGCTCTTCCCCTCTGGGGGCTGTGGGGCACTGGGAGTGAGAAAGCAGCCCCGGGGGGCGGCGATGCCTCCCGTGTGACCGCACCGGGGCCGGCGGGAGGGACCTGCGGTGCTGCCTCCGCTCCCGTGTCACAGCTCCTCTGGCAGCCGCGGTCACTCGGTGGGTGTGGGGCGTTGTGCGTGACGGACTGAACGCTCCTTGGTTCAGTGCGTTCGGGCAAATCAGCCGTGTGGAAGATAAAACGGAAATTCTGTAAACTCTGTTAGCTGAGCACATTGTAAATAACGTCGTTAATAAATTCACGGTCTAGTTACAGTGTTTCGAATCAAGTACCTTGTGGTTTCCATCTCCCGGCTTTTTTCTTTAACTAGGCCAAGGCAAGAAACTTTGGGTGGTGTTTCTTTAGAAGCAGATGTTGATGGGAAGTCTTTAGATGAGACAGGTGCTTTGGTTTTACGAAAGTACTGACACGTATGGGTGATGTGTGTGGTGGGATGGATTTGTGCTGGCCAGATGTAATGGGGCAGTTTCTTTCCTGTATCTTATGGGAAATGTTTTTAACGTCGTGTTTGCACGGCACTGTGTTGCACTTAGTTCTGAATCTCAGCTTGAATTTTTTGTGTTGAAACAAACTAAAGTAGCTTTGAAAGTCTAACCCAGTCCACTTGTGTATCTTACTTTATAGCTTTTAGTCAGAGGCCAACTTCTTACTGTATTTGTTCTTTGGACATGGTGCATTTGGCTGGGACCTGTTTTTAGCACTGCAATATAAAGAGTAACCGCTCAATACAATTATTCAAAGGTACTATTTATTTGATAAGATGTTTCAATTTACTGCTAAAACCTTCAATTTACTGATTTTGAATTGATTTCTTAGTTAAGTTTACTTGATATGCTATTTACATTTTTCCTTGACAGTGTTTAAATGAAATGTTGTTGTAATAAATGAAGCTGTATTTCTAAAAAAAGAATTTTTCCTTACTCTTCTTTGCTGTCACTTATAACTGTCTTAAACTTCAAATGAGGACAAAATGTCCTCTAGAGGGAGATCTTGTTGCTTTTATGTGCTAAAATGTTGGTCACCTTGTTCCAGTTAAATGTCTTGATCACCTGTCTTGGAAAGGATATGTGATGATGAAGGTGTGTATCTTGATTAGTAACTGTGTTCTGGATCTGTGCTTGGAAATTTCATAACAGGATGCAGAATATAATAGCCTGTCATGTATCACTTCTGTTGGTCAAGTGAAACATAGTTGTTTTAATTCATTCTGAAGTTAAATGAACAATCTTTACAAGTTCCAGAGCACTACTCCTCCAGGAGAGTTTGTAGGACCTGCATTTGTGGTATCAATTCTGCAAATACTCACAAAGACACTGTCTTTTCTGCATCACTCTTTTTCATCAATATGCTTTTGAGGGCAGTTTCTTTACTGACTTAAACCAAGAATTTCAGTAGCTGCTCTGAAAGTGTTGTGGGTTAAATCTCTTCAGCATAATGAGTGCTAACAGCTGGGCAAGGAAACAAAGCAGAAATAAAATGTCCCATTTGATCCATCTTGGCAGTACTTTCTGCCTATAAACAGCAGAGGTTGAAATACTACTTTGCAGACACATCAGTTGTTTGAATGTAGTTAATTCTATATACCACATGCTCAATCCAAATTATTGAAAGAATCTTGGTGGGGTTATCATGAGGTTGAGTTATCCAGCACGTTACATATGCAGTCTCAGCATGAGATTTTTCTCACAAACATGTTGAAAAACCTTATTCCACACTCAAGGCGTCTGTGCTCGTATTTTTCTGTTAAGTAAATGCAAATAATGAATTCAATGTAGTTTCTGTTATGTCTGTTGTGTAAAACTAAAGGCTGTGTGGAACTTGCTCAATGGATATGGTTGGAAAATTTCCTCATACTGCAACGACTGCTGGATGGGTCAAAAATGTGTTTACTTCTCTAGCTGCCTGTTGAACCCCTACACACTTCTTTCAAGTCCTCTGTACTGTTAAGAAATACATATTGTCAGGCTATTTGTATTCTTATAAATGTACATACCAAATCACTACATGATTAATTAATTAATTTCTTTTGTGTTTGTGTGGGGAGAAGTAATACTGCAAGTAAGGTGAAGTGCTTTGCATTATTTATATTATAAGATTGTTTTCCTTTTCATACTCATTCTCATTGTTTTATGGTATGCAAATACACTTCTGCAGTGCATTAAAAATGTATGCAAAGGGCTTGGAGGCAAATGGTGTTGTGTAATTGAAGGTACAGATGTGTTCTAATAGAGGAATAAATTCCATTGATGAACAGGAATAAAAGTTTGACATTTTATGTTAAGAAAGGCATATTTAAGTCCCTAAGTTACTCATGTTGTAGACTCTTTAATTAATTGTGCTCTGAATAATGAATTCTTTATTTTAGGTTAGAATTTTGGAGGATTGCAGCACTGAGATCTCTGGAGCCTGCTGTGCATAGCCATAATGAGTTCATCACTGGTTGCTTATGAGGATTCAGACTCTGAGACAGAAACTGAGACGACTGAAGTCCCCCAAGCTTTTGGCACAGGAAAAAGCTCTCAGAGTTCTTCTGTGAGTTGTGGTCAGCACTTTGCACCTGGTAGTTTAGGTACAAAATCTACATATGAAATGCACCCTGTGGAGAACAGTGGCAGTTCTGGCACAAGCACTGTTTGTGAAGATCCCCCTGAGCTTTATGCACAGACTAATAACACTGACTTGACATCTCCTTACTCTAGGAGGGTATACTCTGACCATGCTGCATTATCTATGGCGTACAGAAACTGTGAACAGACCTCAAGCTCTTCAGCAAACTCTGGACACGGCATTTCTCAGAAGAGAATACATAAAGACAGTGCTACTACCATAAAAGGAATTAGACCATATATCCCCAAACGATTGCGTCAAGAAAATTCCAGTATGCCTGAAACAAAAGAATCTGATCAGAGAGGTAGCTCAGATTGTGATGGTAAACTGGGTATGTCAGGAGAGCAGTCTTCGAGAAAGATCTCTGAATTAATAAAGCCATATTTGGGATCCAAATATAAATCAACTGAAGTCCCCAAAAGCTTGATATTTTACATGTCTAAGCACAGTGGCCCCGTTAATGAAATCCAGTGGTGTCCTGTACGGGAACAGAGTCACATGCTTCTCTCAGCTTCTATGGACAGAACCGTCAAGGTAATGTAAAACAAGATGCTTTGTGGCTCCATCATCAAACTTAAAAATACTGTATTAAATAATGCTCTTCTGGAAATAACATCCTTGCTTGTGTGTGTGTTTCCAATGTATTCGGAATTTGAGGAGATGCTTTGAAGTATAAGACTCTATTATGAACTTGCAGCCTAATTCTTCACTAGACCCACAGTTTGAGTATTTGGAATTTGGTATAATGTTTTGGGTTTTTTTGAATTAGTCATCTGAGTGTTTTGGACCTTAAAAAGTTAGATTTCTACCAGGTCATTTCTCATGATCTGTACCAGTGTTTCGTCACAATGGCCATAAACACTGTGGTCTGTGTACAGATCCTTCCTGAAGTCAGTAAACAACTGACTGCCAACACTGGAATAATATTTTGAGGAGCTTTACTTTTCTGACAGACCTATATGACTACTGCTGCAGGAGGGCAGATGGATTTTCCATCTGAACTAGTGTGGCAGGTAAGCCTTCCATCCCAGAAAGGTGTCCTGTCATGATCTAAGGAGTCTTTCCACTTTGTTTCAAGGCTTAATTGCTCCAATACTCAAAATTTATTTTCCTTCTATTTTTAATGTTTTGTTTGTTAATATAGTCACTCCAATGAGTCTTTTATTTTTAAAATGGGTAATAAAAGTGTTGTATGTGTATGTTTTCCCAGACATAGGGCTAATTGTGCCTTTGGGTTCAAATAACTATCCTCTGAAATGGGTTTACACAGGAACATAGTTTTGATAAGAGCACACAGCAAGTGTCCTTTCTGGTGGAAGGCATGCTTTGTTGCATCTAAGATGTATTTACCATAGCAACCACAATTATTTTAAAACTTACTTCTAAAATTTAGGACTTTAAGTAAATCCTACTAAATAGAGACTAAATAGCAGAACAGTCCTTGTACCAGCATACTTCTAAAACCGAAAGAGAGAACTTCAACTGAACTTGAATTCTAGTTTAATGTAGAAAAAATAGTCTTAAACTCTCTTATTCAAATTGAGAATTTTTTCTTTAACTATTTTGCTGTTAAATTTGTAGTGGAGAATTGAGTCTCATTTAGTTTGGTTTTGTAACATTTTATTTTCTTATCTTAGAATTTTTTCTTTCCTTTCCTCCTTCCCCAGTTTTGCCATGGGGCCCTGTGAAATATATGCTGCCTTTGCATCTTTGAAGCAGAAATGCTCTTGAATCATGGAGAGAGATTTTGCTTTTGTCTCCAGATGTCTACTAAAGCACTTGGTGGTCACAGAAAACTCCTGATCTATAGCATGCATAAAATTTTCTCCTCCTAGTTGCTTATCTTTTATTCCTGAAAGTTATAATGACTTCCCTGGCTCTGCAGTCAGCATAATGTATCAAAGCATCGAAGTCTGAATACTTTGAACTTTCCTCTATCTTTCCCAAGCTTTTTTAACCTCTTTGTCTTAAAGATTAACTTGGAAAAAAAAGTACCTTTCTTTTTACTAGCAAGTGTTTCTTAACATATTGAATAAGTTAAATCTTGGCTGTTACTTGAAGAAAAAATTTAAAAGGGAAAGACTAAGATATGCAAGAAGTGCTGATGGATGTTTTAGGTAAGCAGGAGTTTAAATTTGGATTGTACAAAACTATTGTACAGCACCTCTGAATTTCAATATATTTGACTTTTTATCTAAAGTTGTAACACAATATGATTAAAGCTTGTTTACCGTCCCAGAGCCTCATTTTATTGATGACTAAAATTATGTATGTGTTGAATGTAAAACAATCTAAAATCAAAGTTGTTATTGCAATATAAAAGTATTAAAAAATGAAAGTAATGACATGTCTGTTGTGTATTCTAAGCAGAAAGAAGGATTGTTTTTGTGAAGTAGTGTTACCACCCCTGATTGGAAGCAGTCATTAACCAGTAAGGGTGGTTTTTGAAGAAATCTAACTGCTGCAGGTTCCTCAAACACTGGAAATTCAATGTAAATAGAATATATTAATGTTGTCAATGCTTCAGAGCACGCGAGCGTAAAAAAATTACTAGAGCAATAATGTAACTGTTAAGAAGTATATGAAAACACTCTTCTATATTTTTGAAGGTAGACTGTAGAGAGGTATCTACGGGTGCTTCTTACTGTTCTTTCCTAGTGACCCTTTAAATTATTGTGCTGGGACACACGGACCGTCCCAGCCAGCAGAGGGCGCGGTGACATCGAGGATTGACGGGATGTTGGGAGCCCAATTTCCCTCACTTTCTGGGATCCTGAGCCCATAAATCTCTGGTGGCTGTGACAGCAGTGCTTTATCTTTTGGGGATTTATTTGCTGCCTACTGCTGCCTGAAGTTGCCCATTTTCTGGTATAAGCATAAAACAACTGATTGAAAATGCAGATGTACTGTTGTTTTCCCCTTCATCCTTTAAGTTCCCACAGTTTACCTTTTTTGTTGTTTTCTTCCCCAAACACCTGCTTGGAATTGCTGTTTAAGTCCAGGCAGTGGATGCATATCTTCTTTACTCTGATGGGAATATGCAGACACTCAGAATCTTTGCAACATTTACTTTCAACATCTGGTTAGGGTAAAACTCAAAGCACAGTTAGCAGCCTAAAATCCCTATGTGATCAGAGACAGTAGGTAATCCAGAGCCTCAAAACTCTGTACTTTCAGTTAGTCATATGAATAGCTGTGACTGAATATTTTTGTGGGTAAATGTCATGGATTCAGTCCTTACATTCAACCATTAATTATACATTATATAATACATTATTATATAATTATATAATACATTTTATTATAATTATATAATACATTAAGACATTTATCCTTTGAAGAGTTCAATATTAGTGAAGAGTTCTGTCTTAAGTTGATATCACTGCGATAGTTTGTGCTTAAATCAGAGATCTATAGTTGTGTGTAATTTGTTGTAGTGTTATTTTATCTGTTTTTATGTGCTTAAAATTTTCCTCTTAAATTTTCATCCCTTCATGAGAAAGTATTTTCCTTCCTCCCCCTCTCCATTCCCCAGCATAGAGAAGGAAGAAACAATTGCTTTAGTTACCTTACTTTAGTGATTTTAATTTTTTTTATCCCATGTAGATTACTATGGCTAAGTCACTAATATCACACAAATAGGTATCTAAAATGTGTATATAAAACTGATTATATGGTTTCTTACTTTTTAAGTGTGTGTGCTTATCCTGTTAAAATCAGAAGAAAAGAACAGTCTTCTGTTTATGTTCTCTCAGGTTAACAAATGTGCACTTTAACATCATCTTTATGAATCAATGTAAGTGATATTAAAATACTTACAATAAATAAGTCTGCAGTTTCTGTTGACTGAAGCATAGCCTAGAGTCAGGGAAGATCATCCAAAGCATGTTGTATAAATATTTTGCATATTTAGGAATGAATGGACTGTTTTAGAGGACTTTACAGTTTTCTTTGAAAAGTATTTGATCTGAATTTTTTTTGTATCACTGCATTTGAAAACCCTCAATCAGTTATCAAGTGGTTGAGTTGAAAAAATTATCAGATATCAGCTCAGGGTCGTGATTCTCTAGAGTAACATTTCCACCAGCAGATGGGGCACCTTGGCCTATTAGAAAGGGATGGGAACTAAACTGTGCCTCTAAAGACTGGAAGATTTTAATATTTGCCTCTATGTTGTGTGTTGAAAGACCAAAGTTACACGTTCATGCATGTGTTGCTAAAAATATAAGGAAACAACTGAGTTTTCTTGGAGACCTGAAAGTATGATAGAACTTCATGTGGGAAGCGATACGTATTGCAGATTAATTGCCCACAGTTCTTCAAATCTGGAGCATGAATAGAAGAATATTTCGTGCTAAATTTCAAATTTGTCAGGAATGGGGGAAAAAAGTGCCTAGTTGTAGGCTTTGTCAAATTTTTTACCCTCTTTTTTTTTTTGTAGAATTTTTAGCTTCCCCTTTGGAAGCTCCAACCTAAGTAGCTGGAGAAAGGTACAGAAACCCTGATTCAGGGTTGGTAAAGGTACTGTTGGGAGCTCTTACTGTGGCAGTGCTATTCAGAGTTGCATTCTGACTGTATTAGAGTGGATTATGTTTTTAGCTTAGGTGTGTGTTTTAAGGACTGTGAAACATTATTGTCTTAACTGATTACGTTTGTTTTGTTTGAGTAGCACTTCTGTTTGAATGGCTGCTGTAAATGAAATTTAGGCTACTACTGCCATTTTTTGGGTTTTCCTACTTAAACACCAAAATAGTCTTTGTGATTTTAATATCTGGTGTAGTGGTTTTTGCATGAATGTTGAGACTCAACACCATTATCAAAGGTGCCTGGTTCCTGTAGTGTGGATATACAATGCTTTGTATATCAGACCTTGTTTAGGGATTTCTGGCTTAGAACCCCAGATACAGAATCCAGGATTACAGGTTACCATTGAATACAGCTGCTTGCCGTTGGTAGCAGGGAACATTAAAAAGTTGTGTCTTGAAAGATGTGTTTACCAATTGCAGAAATGACAATGCTGTTCACTCACATTGCCAGTGTCTTTTATTTGGAAGACCTTGTCGTTACATAGAGCCACACAGACATTAACGTTTTCACTACTTACTGATTCTAGACTTAGTTTTTTAACAATTGTTCATAACTTCAAGCCTCCTATGCCTTTATTCTGTATTTCCTATTTTTGTCTTAAAAAATAACTCCAGGTAACATCTTTATATAATCATCTGTTAGCTTGTAATTTTGTGTTCCTGGTTTTTTATTTGGAGCATCACAGCAGGGGTTATGTTTGTTGCAAAGTATTTCTTAATTTTCAGCACTTTCACTCTCTGTTGTTAAACAGGATCAAGGAAAGAAAGTGCTGAGATTCTTGAGCATGCAAAATATATATTAGTAGAACTTTGGAGGGATGTCTTTTGTTGTAATACATTGCTGGAAGTTTTTCTTGTACATTTTTTCCCTACTTGCCTAGTTGAACGTTGTCTCCATTTAGTCACAGCTGAATCCATACAAGCAAAGCAAAAGCCTTTAAAATGAGT